GATGAAGCCAATCAGCAGATATGGGGATGGTTAGGAGGCCATGATGGTCAGAGGCCAATGGGCGAGTTTGGCCAGGATGCCGAGGTCACACCTCTACTATGCAATCATTTGTTATACCCGATAAAGCATTATAACACTATTTCTCTTTACCAATAATGTCAGGATTGACAACATTTTCTGATATAATTGCTAGGCATGTGGTATTTATGGGCACACATGTAAAATTTATGGCCTGTGAATAAATCTCACTCCAAGCAGCTGATGGCAGTTGGCAACTAAAGAATGCAGAAGGGGGTTGTGGAATTGGGCTTTAAAATATCCATCATCTGCACATCCCTGCATTCAGATTCTGGACACTTTTCTCAGCCTCCCATTAATACAGAAATCACAAACACAGTCCCTAAAATGAATAAACGGTTTCATCAGCACTGATGTTGCCCATATGGCTAAGTTCTCCTTCAGGATTCTTCATTTGCAATAGAGACAGATGCGTGCAGTCTGTGTTAGCGCTTTAGCCATGTGTTCACAACTGAAAACCATTTTTCTAGACATGTTTTTCTCCAGCTGAAAACCATAATGGCTCCACATGACTTCTGTCAGCAAACATCCTGCTCTGTAGGATAACATCTCCATAAAACAAAGTTACATCATCACCAGATGGACAGCCTGCTTTTTATCTCTAAACCCGTGGGTTGTGCCAGTGAAAGAAGAAAAAAAATTTCACCAAAACAACTGGGTTCTCAACGCACATTTGACCAAGTTTGTTACAACAACATCACACTTGCTGAATGAGGATGAGCTGGTCTGATTTATTTCTACTTTCACACAACATCACTGTGGAAAGACACATTGGGTGTATTACAGGTAAAAAATTTCCCTAGACGAACCTGTGGTTAACCTTAAAGTTACCAGTCAAAAACCTTAACCACTGACTATGCCATACTACACAAATTTGCATGAAGCTGCAACCCCCATAATTTGACAATAAACTTTTTTTTACAATAAAACTGTTCTTTTAAACAGTAATCCGCTACATTACAGGATACAAACAGAAAGTAATGTCAGTAAATTCATTAAAGCTATCTTATAAGGGGAAGCATCTTTTAAAATATATAATTATCAGGTTATATGATTCATTTTAAAAAAGTGTTGTTTATCTGGCTTAGAAACAACAAAGACATCATCTAGGATTGAGATCCCACAGGTACTTGCTCACACTCCAGTGTTTGCTAATTGGTTCATTTCTGGTCTTTACATCCCCTTGGAACAACAGGAGTACTAGTTTGTATTGTTGTATTATTACAAAAGGGGCCTGGTAAAAAACAGCTTGTCTAGAGAAACAAACAGGACAGTCTTTCGTGTTGACACCCTAAAGGTTGTATTTTTAATGTGAAAGGCTTTCTGCTGTTGCCAAACTGAACACTCAAATCAAAAACGTCTGAAAGTATCACCATTACTACTCAACTGAACTGAACCGTTTGACTGAGACAGTATTACTGACAAAACATCTATAATGTGTCAGTTTTGTTATTTTTTGAACCAAAAAGATCCATTGGAAATCCACAAAAAAAAAAAAGAAAATACATAAGATACATAAATAAACAAAAAATTATATATATATTTATATATCTATATATATATATAATTAAAATATATGATGTTAAAATAAAATTATTTAATTGAAATTGGTTTCTATATACTTTAAATATTTCAATTTTATTACTCTGCTATTTCTATATACTACATATTTATTTCTATATTCTATATACACTGTATGCACATATTTTTTCACATTCTTTTTTTTTGCAGGTATGTGTGTTGTCAAGACAATGACCACACACCTTGTTTTCTGTTTGATGTGTATGTTTATTATTATTATTATTATTAATATTCCAAAATTCAGGTGGAACCAATCTGAGGTCCAGATTTGTGCCGTGATCCATTATTTGAGATTCCAAAACAGGCTGATGCTTACTGAACACAGTAAATCAATATATTAAACAAAAAAAACAGCCTCTTAGGGTAAAGCGGTTTAATTAACATGTGTTTGAAATGCCGAAAACATCTTGCAAGAGCCGAGAAGCCAATCTGTGCAGCAGTGTGGTTCTGAATGCTGATATTATTCCATAATTATGCCACCCATAGTCTAAAGAAGGGATGAGCAGACAATATATATGAGCCAGTTTAACTGTTTTTGCCTAATTAAAGTTTTGCAAATATATAACAAAGACACGTTAAAGTTTCATTCCTTTATCCAAGGTTTATGTGCAGCTGAAAGCACTTCATTTGTATGTGGTGTAAACTTTAGCTTACATTGTTACAGTTCACGATGAATGACAAATGATTTCAGGATACATGGCACGAGACTGTGAGCACTTCTGTATGTGAAGCTAGTTTTCAACAGTCTGTTCATATTAATAAGTCATGCTCTAAAATGCCATGGAGGTGTCTTCGGTTGCTTTGTTTAACCCAAAGGGCATTACAAATTTGGTTTGGCTTTAGCTCTGCAGTATCTGTCTGCATTTACACCTACACCCTGATCATCCCCAGTAGCTCCTGGATTTTTTTGGAGCTCTAGATTTGTTTCTGCTCATGAGTATAAATCTACCATTACTTCAGGGTGTGTTACTTATTAGTAACCTGCCAGTTGAGTACACGTGCATTAATAAAATACATCATCCATTGCAAAGTCGCCATGTGGTTTGGGCTTTGCGCATAAAGCTCCTGAGACCCAGAAGGGCTGAGATGCTTTGTGCACCCCATCCATATTAAAATCTGAGCTTGACTTATATATTCACTAAGCTCCACTCTGGGACATGGACCGAGTTCTAATCAAACGCTTGTGGACTTCTATACTTCCTCGAAACCCCAGAGCGTTCACTCACTGCCTCGATCATGACTCCCTGCTTTACTGCTTTTGTTCTCTACAACAACCAGAGCACATAATTACAAACCCAACAGAGAGAAAACTAACAAAAGGAGAAATTTAATAATGGAGGCGGCACTTTACATATTCATCTCATATTTGCCTTGGGAACTGGGGAGATTTGTGTGGGGGTGCGAGCACTGAAAATTTCTTCAGGCGGTGCACAAAGAGATCATTTGAGATTCCCGTTGTTATCAGAGCTTTTCATCAGCTTTTTACTGGATATACATATGGGGTAATGTAGAATATGGCAGTTGATGGTGTAGTGAAGACAGTTAGCTGGGCGCACTCCTGTCTTGATGACAGGAAATGAGCAGGAAAAAAGTATGAAAGCGGCAGCGAGATACTGCCAAAGCTTCAAGAAAATAGTGAAAAACAACTGGGTCAGTGGCTAATACTGTAAACATGGCTTGGTTTTTGGTACCAGAAGGCTGGTCTGAGTATTTCAGAAACTGATGGTCTACTGGGATTTTCACACACCACCATCTCTAGGCTTTAAAAATATCCAGTAAGTGGCAGTTCTGTGAACAAAAATGCCTTGTTGATGCCAGAGGTCAGAGGAGAATGGCCAGACTGGTTCAAGCTGATAGAAAGGCAACAGTAACTCAAATAACCACTCGTTACAACCGAGGTTTGAAGAAGAGCATCTCTGAACACACAACATGTTGAACCTTGAAGCAGAGGAGATACAGCGGCAAAAGAACACACCGGGTGCCAATCCTGTCAGGTAAGAATGGGAAACTGAGGCTACAGTTTGCACAAATTCACCAAAATTGGATAATAGAGGATTGGAAAAAGTTTGCCTGGTCTGAAGTCTTGAACTCTGCTGTGACATTCAGATGGTAGGGTCAGAATTTGTCATAAACAGCATGAAAGCATGGATCAATCCAGCCTTGTATCAATGGTTCAGGCTGCTGGTGATATGATGATATGGAGAATATTTTCTTAGTACACCTTGGGTCCCT